TCCTACTCCTACTCATACTGCTACTCCTACTACTACGACGACTGCTGCTGCTGCTGCTGCTGCTACTACTACTACTACTACTACTACTACTGCTACTGAGCTAATGCTACTGCTACTGCTATTGCTACTGTTACTGCTACTACTCCTGTTGGTACTACTGGTGTGGCTACTTCCACTGCTAGTGTGGACGACGGCTGCTACTACGGATACGGCTAGTGCAATGCGACTACAACTATGAATACGACGACAACCAGGACCATCTCTACTAGCGCTTCCTCCCGTTACTGTTACCGACTTGCCAGTCCGAGTCACTCTTCGCTTGCTGAAGGGTGTGCTCTCGGGCCTGCAGCGCAGCATCGCCACTGGCCTTCAGCTGCCTATCAATCTCCTCGCTTCTTCAACAGCCAGGCCCAAACAAGTTCAAACTTTTTAGCATAGACCTAAGATATAAGGCCAGAAAGTTTAAAGTTCTCCTATTGGCTATCTAAGTCTCAAGCATTGCAGGAGTCTTGTTGAACTGCAAGCTGCTACAATCCAGGCGGGGCATCATCAAAATGTTAGCTACCAGTGCATCAACACTCTGGATCGCCAGAGCCTTTTTCTGCTGGTGATGGGCCATGCCGTCGCGGTTCCCTTCGACCTCATCTTCCCACTTTGAGTCAATGAAGATGTGCTTCACCTGTTTGGCTTCCTCCCCAAACATGTGTTCGAACTCATGCACGCGGGCTTTCTGTTCGTCTACATCCAGCATTAGCATGGACCATTTTGTATGGATCATAATGAAGTTGCGGCGATGGTCCTTCAGCCAATCCCACAAGTAGAGGAAAGATGTCTTAAATGATGAATCATACGCCATGCCCTTTCCAATGACGAACACGACCGAAGAAATCTGTCCGAGCTGGGCAAGTTCTCCAGCTATCTCTTCGAAATGCTGCTCGTCAATACCAGAGCCTCTGCTGTCCTTGTCTCCAGGGCAGTCGAGGAAGTTGACCCGAAAAGTCTGCTTCCCGTACACTGGCTTTGCCATATAGGTATCCAAATAGTAGTCCCGCGAATCCTTGTTGCCGCCTTTGAAGATTCTCATCATTTCCGACATCGCCTTGTGGCCCATGCCACAATCCCTCTTGCGAACCGTCTTGCAGCTGATGCTACTTACCTGCAATGGGTACTTGGTGACCTTCGCTGTAGTTGAAACATTCCCTCGTCCAACTTGCAGCGAATCTGGCACTTGGTTGCTGTTGTAAAGCCTGTGCAACGCTCGCAGCAGTTACAGCTCTCCTTTTGAGGGCGCTGTGCAATCGTGCTGGTCCCAATGCCAGTGGAGAATGCTACCAGTGTCATATGAGTTATCTTCATCGTTGCCTGCCAGACCAGTCTCGCATTCCCCTTCTTGGCCTTCCTTATAGGGTTTAGGGTCAAGGGCAAAAAGGAGATAGGAACTGTTAATAATTACTGAAGCTATTGGCGGACGCAGATTTCGGTTGAACAAGCAGTAATCCTAAGGGTCCAAGTACATAATAATCATATTCTGAATAATAACCTACAAAACTACTATCCCTAACCCAAGTACATGATTACTAGGTCTTTTGGATCCTTAGGGTATTAACAGCGACAAAGACTCTGCCGCTCCGTATCCGCTGCCCGACCCCTGCTGGGCCCCATTGGCAGCTTCCCTTTCATCCACCTGATGTGGCTCCGCGCAACTGGCAAACATGAGGGTTTAGGGTTTAGGGTTTTGGCGGCTGGGACTCACTGCAGGAGGGAGATGTCTGCGGCACAGGAGAAAAGGCCTCGAGCCGTTAGTGCTACACACTCGTGCCGAAGGCAAAAGACTAGCTTGGCGTTGACACGGCAGGCTGCAGAGGAGTGAACTCTGGGACCTGAATGCGAAGGACCGAACTTTAACGAAGGTGTATTTGACTAACTACGACTTTATCGAAGCTTCGAGAACGTTGAGCTTCATGAGCAGCATGAGCATGTTCATCTCAGGGTGTTGGAACCCTAACCCTAAACCCTAAACTCCTCAACACTAAAACCCTAAACCCTAACCCCTCAACACTGAAACCCTAAACCCGTGAACCCGCTCTCTGATCTTTGGTGTTTGTTGGGCCTAGGAAGAGTGGCTTCCGGGCACATCGGCTGTAGGAACCCAGCTGACGCTTGGGTTCGGGTTTTGGGGTTTACAGGGCTTAGGGTCTAGAGTTCAGGGTCTACGAATTCGGGCTTCGGGCTTAAGGGCTTATAGTGTTTAGGGTTCTCTTGTTGTGGGGTCCTCCCTTCCTTAGACTGACGAATCCCCCAAATGCTTAATTACTGAGTACTGACGGATCGACTACTGTCTTTACAGATCGGTTCTCAGCTCCGCGATAGGAGAGATCCCCTCAAACCCCAAATCCAATCCAAAGTGCCACACCCTGAACCCTCAAATGCGCGTCTTGCAAGACCCTGAAGCCTGAAACATGCCCAAAACCCTAATCCCTTCAAGTAAATTCCCGCTCACCCTACCAAGCTGAAATCCCTCCTTCCACCCTTGTGGCCTTGGGTAAATTGCTCTCGGCCACTTGAATGGAAAGCCGCTGAACCGTCCCTGCAAAACCCCATCAAAAGTGCGCATCCACCCTCATTGCCCGGGCCCGCCAGAACCGACCTTATTCTCGTGGGTTTAGGTTTTTGGGTTTAGGGTTTAGTTTTGCTTTTGGTGTTGGTGGGTCAGATGCCGAAAGAAAGCTCTGCAGGTTCAGTTTTCCGAGAAGCGTTCGACCCGCAAAAACCCGCATACTAGGAGGCCTGGAGTTCAGATTTGAGTGCCGGCTTTGAGCATACCTAGGGGGTTTACACCCAAGCCTATTAGGATACGTACTTGGCGCCATCAATAATTATAAAGTCAGTGAAGCCTAGAAGCTAGGACTTAGAGGCTTCACCGTTTTCGCGGCCCGAAGTCCGATTCCCCGAGGAGGTCTGCCGCGCTCAGCCGGCAAAGCTGGACGTCGCGGGTCTCACCGGCAGGGAGCCCAGCAGCTGAATGTACTCCCGAAGATCGCTGGAGGAGAGTTGCTTGCCTAATGTAAAGGCCTTAATAATTAGAATCGGGGTTTGGGGTATATTATACCTATAATTATAATAAGGAACCCCCCAAAACCCTATTCTCATTATTAAGGCCCCTACAGTAAGCAACAGTGCATCGTTGCAGGGCTTAGGGCTTGGAGACTTTCCCGAGCATTCCGGATTAGAGCGAAAAATTTTAGGGACATAAGTAACAAAAACACAAAGACTTGTGCCGGCGGGTGGCCAACTGCCGCCTTGTACCACTCATGTACAGCTCCCAGTTGGTCGAGTCGCAGTTCCTGCATTGAAGCAACTCGACTCACCAAGGTGTTCTCCTCAATGAGCTTGTTCAGGCCTTCCAGGACCTCTTTTGCATACTTCTCCGCATCTTGCTTGTGTTTCAGATCTTCCTGGTCCTCCTTTATTTTCGCTCGGATGGGCTCCAGTTCAGCCTTGATCTGTGCAATTTCGGCAGCATGTACGTGTCGGCTTGCTCCATAAACAACCAAGCTGCCCATGTAGAATGTTGGCACCAAGCCGGTGCTGCAGGTCACTTGGACTGAAAATGCCGTGCGTTCCCAGTCTGTCCAACTGATACGGAACGTGCCGTCGGTCGTGACTACGTTGCTGATAGGCACCCTGGTTTCTACTCGTAGGCATCGCCAGCCCCAGAACCAATAGATCCAAGCTTCCTTGCGAGCAATCTCAACATCGGTGTCGACGTCAATTGCTTCAAGTCTGCACATCAAGGGCGCCGTGTGACTCTCACCCTCCGCAACCCGCCTGGAGATTTCTCGCATTTCTTTGTTAAGTACGGCAAGATCTCTATCTGTGGTGTCAAGTGTTGCTTGTGCAGCATCTAAAGCAGCCTCTGCCCCGGCAATCAGCTGCCTGTCCACTTCATGCATCCGCCGTGTCTTCCTCGGTCCCCGTCTATCCCCTTCGTAGTAAATGGTATCCTGCTCCCATTGCCAAGAAGTACAACACCTATATCATCAGTATTACTAAGGTTGTCATGGTTGTCATGACTTCTATTATCATGCAGATTGTGTCTATGTTTACTGCTACTGTTACTGCTACTGTTGCTGTTACTGTTACCGATACGGTTACTGCTACCGTTACTGTTACCGCTGCTGATGCTGATAGTGTTGGTGCGAGCGTTAGTGTTCGCAGTAGTTCTCGTGCTAGTGTTTGTGTTGCTGCTAGTCGTAGTACTAGCATTAGTGTTAGTGTTTGTCTTCGGTTAGTGTTAGTGCTGCTGTTCCTAATACGGTTCCTGTTACTATGACTATGTCTGTCATTATTTCTATACCATTCCTAGTAGTAATCGTATTGGTATGAGTGTAAGTGTTAAGTACTAGGCAAGGGGAATGAGTAATAGTACTAGTCTAAAATTAGTACTAGTAATTATTTGCACTCGTATTGGCATTAGTATTATTATTGATTTTAGCATTAGAATTGGAAGGAATACGATCATCAAAACTAGTATTGGTATTCGAATAAATGGACGTGCTCGTATTAGTAAGCATTCGTGTTCGTATCCGTCTTAGTATTAGTATTCGCATAATTCGCAACCATATTCGTTTCGTATTCGTATTGGTAGTACTCGTAATTGTACTGGTATTTGTCTTAATTCTAACACGGCGATGTATTGGTAGTAGTATTAGCATTGTAGCAATCGTGTGATCAAAAACAGTACCGACACAAGTACTACTTTTAGTGTTCGTGGTAGTACCCATAGTAGTATATACTTCTAGCTTGGCATTAGCATCTGTATTAGTCTTGGTATTAATCTTGTTCTTCGTATGAATGTTCAAATTGGTAGCAGTATTGGTATTAGTGCCAGTACCAGGAAGTATGAGCACTAGTATTAGTATCCAGAGTAAAACCGGTCGCAGTGTTAGTATTTGGATTGCTCTCGCTCCTGCTCTTACCCCTCCCCTCTCACATCATTATCACTACTGTTGTTATAATGATAATCATGATGTTCATGATAACGGTTATGACTGTTATGATTATCACAATTATTACGATTATTACCATTATTGTTCCTTTTACTAGTATGACTGTATTGCCATTCATAATGGGGTTGCTATGATTACATTGAATATGATTATGTCGTTGCTGTTGGTATTCAACTTTAATTGCCACGGACGCCGTCAAATCGCATAACAATGAAAGGCTACTGCTGGAGCACCTAGCTTCCTGAAGGGGAGCATGGCACAGTCAATGTTCGACGCCAGGGCAATCTCAGTGATCAGTGCGTTCATGCTGTTAATAGCCAACGCTTTCTTCTGCTGGTTAAATGCCATGCAGTCACGCTCCCCGGGATCCTCATCCTCCCACTTCGAGTCAATGAAGACTTGCTTTACCGTGTCAACGTCGGTGAAGCCGAAGACCTCCGAAAACTCCCTTTCGCGGGCGGCCCTTTCTGCTTCGGCACCCGGCTCTAACATGGACCACTTGGTGTGCACGATAATGAAGTGGTTGTGGTAGTTCTTGAGCCAGTCCCAAAAGTACTTAAAGCACTCTTGGAAGGACAGGTCATATGGCATACCCTTTCCAATGACGAAGATCACCGCCGCCAACTTCCCCTTCCGGGCCAGCCTCACCGCAATGTCAGCCATGTGATCCTCGTCACGGCCCTTGCTGTCTCTATCACCAGGGCAATCCAAAAAATTGACCTGGAACTTGTGCTTTCCATAGACAGGCTTTGCCATGTAAGTATCCAGATAGTAATCGCGGGAGTCTCTGCGGCCGCCCTTGAAAATTTTCAGCACCTCCGACTCGTTGGGCGGACCTGCTTCCCATTTCAGATCTCGATTACGAACTGTCTTGCAAGAGACGCAGCACACCGAGAGGGGATATTCTGTGACTGTGGCCGTCGTGGATGTATTGCCGTGGCCAACTACCAGCGATTCTGGAATGCGGTCTCGGCTGTAGATCTTGTGCAAGGCTCGCAGTAGTTCCGACTTTCCGGATGTTGTTGGCCCCACGATGATAGCACTACGTTCCTCCTTGGAAAGATCTGTCGAAGAATATGGCTGTGCCCCAGGCCGATCTGGGAATATCCATCGCTTAATGTTGTCGCTCTCATGTGGAGCCTCCTCGTCGGCGGAATCCTCATCAACATCCTGCTGCGGCTGCTGCCAGATCTCTTCCGGCGAAATCTTTCGTGAAGCAGCGCAGGAACGAAGCATGCCGAAACCCCTAAACCCAAAACCCCTGCAAAATCGGGTAAACCGACGCAAACACCTGGAAACCAACATTCCCGGGTAGTTCGACCAAGACGGGCCCAAATCTATCCGTGTTCCCAAGTTGCGTTATATTTAGTATAGATCCCTTTGTGGTAACTTAGATTAAATTGATTAGACAAGGACCAAGTCTGAGTCGCTTGCTGCTTTCACTTCCAGAAGCCTCATGATCCGTCAGAATCGTCGGGCAGTCTTTAGCCTGGGATTACTCCTGAGATGTCACATCAGTTTGCAATTGGGAAATTGCGATCTCCAGGCGGGTGTAGGAGAATTCTACGCGCAGCAGAATGCTTTTCTCAAGCTCGCACTTGTCGAAAACTTGCCTAGGTTCTTCTCTCACACGGCCTGGAAGAGGGGTATAGTCGGGAAGAACGGAACATCTAGCCCAAGCCAAATCTGCCCTGAACCGTGGAACTCGTTCCCTGAACACTTTGGAATCAAGAGAGGATCTCCTGTACAAACGTTAGCACCTTCGGGCAAACAAGGGGATAGAGAGTCAGACAGCGTCGACGTATCCCAACTTCCTCCGCCGCAGTGAGCCTAAAATCGGAGCCGTTTGCCGCCCTCAGTGGCCGGACGCGTCATCAGCTGCCTCTAGGGTCCAGGGTCTAGGATGGTTTTGGGTTTAGGGGTTTGGGTTTAGGGTTTAGGGATTAGGGTTTAGGGTTTAGGGGTTTAGGGGTTTAGGGGTTTGGGTTTGGGCTTCTGATTCGAAGCTCAGGTTTAGGGCTTGGGGTCAGGGGTGATCAGAGATTACCGGAAAGGCTGAAGGCTGAAGCTTGTGTGGGCAAAAAGGACCCTTGTAGATCCTGACGCAACCCTAAACCCTGAACCCTGAACCCTAAACCCGGCACCCTAAAC